TGTACTTTTCATCTCCTAAACACATGATCTTTAAAAAAAAAAAAAAAATTCCTGTACTTCATCTGTTGTGGGAGCTGCTGGAGGGGGAAAAAAGGATGCCATTGTCCAGGCCGAAGGAATCAGAGGGAGTCAGAGCATTTGTGCTTGAGTCAAACAATGTCCCTTTGGCAGCACGGTGGCTGGTTCGCGGCTGCAAGCGAGCGAGACCTTTGTAGAGACCCACTGAGTTTGGGCAGTTGCTTTAGTATCCTCCATCAGTGAGGTTGAAAGAGATGTGAGTGCTTATACCACTCTGCCTTGGAGTTAGACCCAGCCTAGTGCTGGGTGAGGAATGCCACGTCTGGGTATAGATCGTTTCTTGCTCCAGAGGGCACTGGGTGATATTTGGTCACCTTGTGCAGTGCCAGATACCTGCCCTGGGCTCCCTGGGCTAGGACAGTGGGAATAGCAAGCTTCACTTCAATTTCCCACAATGCCCTAATGTGACCATTGAGCATTCAGAGGCCACATGGGAAATCTAAAATGGCAGCCCTGGTTTATTGCTTCCATTATTGGATTAACTTAAAGGACTTTGCTGATGCTCCCAGATCTGGAACCGGATTTTACAGGAAGTTAACTAACTATTGGAATCGAGCTCCCACAGACTTCCTATCCATTTTTTTTTTTTACATGAAAAATAACATACTGTGGATGTGAGAAGGAAGAACCGTTTGGCCTTCTTTCTCCTAGAGAAGGGCAGCCTCTTTATGAAAGCATTTGATATTTGCAATTTTTAAATGTACTTATAATGAAAAGAATTAAAAACCTATAAAAAGAACCATTTGTACTCCAGTTAATCTGGGCATCATTTTTAACAATAAAACATAAAAATAATCAAAAATATAATAATATACTATTAAGAGATCTAATTCAGCCTTCTTCAACCTAGTGCCCCTAGACTACAACTTCCATCACTCCTGGCTTTTAATACAATGCTCTGTATGAATTTCTACCTGCCAGGTTGTAGCCCAGTGGGTGGGCAAGTAAGCAAGACAAATATAGAAAGCCATTGACTAAGTAGAATGGGAACACACAGTGGCTGAGCTCACATATTTTATGAAGCATTGGGTTGCCGAAACATGATTGATTGAATAACCCACAATAGAATTTAGCACACTATGTGAGCTTAATCACCACTGAACATAATGAATTTACAGTATGTAGACTTGATACTAGGGGGACACGGTGGCGCAGCGGCTTAATGACGCTGAAAGTTGCCAGCCAGAAATGGTTGACACTTCAGC